GCACCGGCCTGTGACCAAGAAGGAGTTGCAAAGGCTGTAGAGTCCGTATGTGGTTAATTATCCCGGACGATCTAAAATATCATCCGTGATCAAGGAATAGGAGTTGTTACAAACCGCAGGGTTACTTATTGATGTTGTGGAATTGTGCTTTTAGTATCTGAAATTGATGACTGACTTAATCAGTGAAAGTCTGCACACTCCAAGGCTTGCAGAACTTTGACCCCGGGGAGTTTGTCTGCCTGAGAATCTTCTCTGTAGCGGCTCTTTTTTAAAAAAAAAAATGGCTCATTTTGGATTATCCTTTAACGCATGGGTCCCCTACCTTCCTGAGCTTGTGGGCATTGTTGGAATTCTGACACAAGGTGCGGGGGAGGGGGGGCAATGACAAAACAGCTTCCAAAGAAGGTGGCGCCAACTACAGAAGGTTGGAGAGTGAGGTCTTGCATAACTATGAAACTCTTCCTGTGTTTCAGACAGAAGCTCTGTTTTAACAGGATGTTCTCCCATCTACCTAGCAGTTCGAAAGCAAGAAATTGCACGTAGATCAATAGGGACCACTTCGGTGGGAAGGGAACAGCGTTCCGTGCGCCTTGGTGTTTAGTCGTGCCGGCCACATGGCCACGGAAAACGTCTCCGGACAGCGCTGGCTCTTCGGCTTTGAAACGGAGATGAGCACCGCAACCCTAGAGTTGGACTCGACTGGCTTTCGAGCAAGGGAGACCTTTACCTTTACCTTCTCCCATCTACACAGGGTTGAGCTTGGTTTGTCTTGGGGGGTACTGCTGGACTCTAGCTTCATTCTCATATCTTTTTGTTAACTCTTGTATTTACGTGCTAATTGGTCTTACTGGCCACCTGATCCAATTTCAGCTCCGCATATGCATCTTGGCTCTGAGTGGCCCCCTCCTAACAACTGTCCCCTACCCTCTGAGAGCCAGTTTGGTGTAGTGGTTAGGAGCACAGACTCTAATCTGGGAGAACTGGGTTTGATTCTCCACCCCTCCACATGCAGCTGCTGGTGTGACCTTGGGTCAGTCACAAGTTCCTTCACAGCTGTTCTCTCAAGGGCATTTCTGGAAAGAGCTCTCTCAGCCCCACCTACCTCACGGGGTGTCTGCTGCAGGGAGGGGAAGGAAAGGAGATTGTAAGCCACTTTGAGACTCTTTTGGGTAATAAATCCAACCTCCTCCTCCTCCTCCTCCTCCTCCTCCCTCCCTGTAAATAACCCTTGAGGAGGTTTTATTGCATTTGTCTGAAGAAGTGTGCTTTGCACACGAAAACTTACAATTTGTATAAAACTTTGTTGGTTTTAAAAGTGCCACTGGACCAATGTTCCCTCTAAGCTGTGGAGTCTTGTGAGCAAAAATTCTGCTTTGTGAGTTACTGGGTTTAAAGTTGTGAGCCAGTGACTGGGCTACTGCATAAATCAGTTAGCTCTGGAGCCCTCCTTCCTGAGCCAAGGCAAAAGTGTGTGAGCTGGAGGCTAAAAAACTGTGAGCTGGCTCACACTAACTCAGCTTAAAGGGAACACTGCACTGGACTCAATGAACATACTGTTTAAAAACATTTCCATGCATGCACACGTCTTATCTCAGTCGTGCAGTGAAGATCCTTGCGCTGCTATTGCCAAAGAAATGCTTTAACATCTACCTACACAGCCAATCAGATCTCAAACGGCCCATCAGAAGCCCTGCTGGGCCAAAGCCCCCTCCCGCTTCCTCAAAACACTGGGCAGGCTCCAGAAAAGGTGCTGCGGGTGCCGTGGCGCCCATGGGGCACCACGTTGGGGACCCCTGCTTTCGGGTGTTCCCGTGCCACTTCAAACAGGGCTTCCTCAGCTGTCCGGGCCAGCATCAAGGTCATCTTCTGAGGCTTCAGAAGGGCCTGTTGAGGCTCCTTGCTGCTCTTCTTTGCCAGTATTGCTGGCCAGCCCTCTTCGGTGGAACCAGCCCTCCCTGCACAGCCCTCCCATGGCCATTTCGGCTCAGGAAAACAGAGCGGGAGGAAAGGCTAGAGCCCTGCCTCACAGTGCTGTGCTACTTGGCCTCTGAGTACTTGGGGGTGTTATAGGGTTGCCAGGTATTAGCCGTCTGCTGGCAGGGGGCTCCTGGCTTGATCCCAGGGTCTTCTGGTATCACACCATGATGACATCACGTGGAAGTCATGTCATCGCGCTGGGCACGTTGTACAGGGGACGCGCTAGCATCTGGTTAAAAACTGTAAAAAAATTCTAGAGCAGGGGTGTTGAACATGTGGCCCGGGGGCCAGATCAGGCCCCCGGAGGGCTTCCCTCAGGCCCGCAGTGGAACTGGCTGTCTCCTGCTTCCAGTTCTACTGCTGCTGCTGCTGCATCATAGCTTTGCTTCGCCAGACCCTCTCACTCGCTCAGCCATTTCATGTTTTAACCCGGGTCCTAGACTCAGAACTCCGGGCATGAGATTTCCGTGGTGAATGTCAATAAATCAAAAGTAGGTATACAATTTTAGAGACAGAAAGCCGAAGTAAAGGCAGAAGGACTTGGAAAATGGCCTTTTGAAGCGATGAATAAGAAGATGATCAGAGACTTCTCTCATAACAACAAACAAAATAACATATAAATAATGAATTGTTATAAGCAAGAACTCTACAAGTATATTGTGATATTAAAACTAATTGTACTAACATTTTTACTAACAGTGAAAAGATCTCCTCCTCTTGGGGTTTTAGTTTAGTGTGGTTTGCTTTCCTTTATCCTTAGTTGTAGTCCCTTCCCTAATATTTCTTTGTAGTTTTTGTAGTATTTGCAAAATAAAAAAATATCCCTCCAGGGATTAAAATAAAATAAAATAAATCAAAAGTAGGTTTGCAGCTTACAGAGACATGCTTGAACAGCATACTCAAGATTGCAGCATCACAGACATTTTGAGGCAATGATCCAGAGCAAGAGGTGTCAGTTATCAGATACTGTTAAATAAACAAAATAGTGCAGGAGTGCTAATGTTTTTTAAGCATGTTTTTATTTTAAGTAAAAAAACAACCCTTTGTGTTTGTGTCCTTTATAAAGTTTACATCTTCGCTACCTGGCATGGCCCGGCCCCAACAAGGTCTCATTTATGTCAGATCTGGCCCTCATAACAAATGAGTTCGACACCCCTGTGCTAGGGCGTCCCCCATGTGACGTGCCCGCCATGATAATGTCACCTCCAGGTGACATCATCACGCTGAGCACACCGGGCATGGTGGGGGTCTTTGTGTGCGGGGCTCCACGCCCCCCAGGGGGCGGGCCAGCAGCAGATTGGGAGCCCCAAAATCGGGGGGGGGGGACTCACCCTCATCGGGGTGTTGGCAACCCTAGGATTTTAATTCCCCAGTGTTATGTGCGGTTGTGAGTGTGTGTGTGTGTGTGTGTGTGTGTCACACCTGTCGTCCAGGTGGGTCTAAAAGGGAGGAGGCTGCAGTGCCCCTCCCTCCCTCCCTCCCTCACCCGCTTGCTGTCTGGCCCACTGGCTGTCTGGACAAGCAAGCTGTGTAATGAGAAGAGGTACCCAGCAGTGGGGAGGGGGCCACTAGGGGGCATCTTGCCTGTTGGTGAGGGTACCAGCCTCCAGGTGGCGCCTGGAGATCTCCTGCTGTTACCACAGATTTATTTATTTAATTTATTTATTTAGATTTAGATTTATATCCCGCCCTACCCCGAAGGCTCAGGGCGGCTGACAAGGGCACTATGTGCCAGGTTATAACAATAAAACACATGATAAAAACAATACATTACAATAAAATACAGTAACAGTAACAAATTTACAATACAGATTTAGCAAAGATGGGTAGATCTTAACCTCCATGGTAATGTCTTGAGATCTTGCCATCCAATCCCTGCCCGGATGCCTCGCTACCCCAGTGGGGTCCAGATAATCATGATGGTAATGCGACAGTGCATATGAGGTGGAGGTGGAATAGTGGTGGCGGCGGCTCCTACTCAAAGGCCTGGCGGAAGAGGTCCGTCTTGCAGGCCCTGCGGAACTGAGAAAGGTCCCGCAGGGCCCGGATCTCTTCCGGGAGCTCCTTCCACCAGGTAGGAGCCGCCACCGAAAATGCCCTGGTCCTGGTCCTGGTCACCGCAAATTTAACATCTCTAGGGCCTGGAATTTCCAGGAGATGACACCCCCCCCCGACCGTAGTGCCCTTGGGGGAACATATGAAGAAAGGCGGTCCCTCAGGTAGGCTGGACCCTGGCCATAAAGGGCTTTAAAGGTCAAGACCAGCACTTTGAAGCAAATCCGGTATGCTATCGGCAGCCAGTGCAGCGCTTTCAGCACAGGCTGAATGTGGTCCCTCCTTGAGAAACCCATCAACAGCCTGGCCGCAGCATTCTGCACTAGCTGCTGCTTCCGGATTTGCGACAAAGGCAGCCCAAGATCTCCAAGTGACAGAGTTCAATTCACCTGGAGAAAATGGCTGCTTTGGAAGGCAGAGCCTGTGGCCTCCTGAGGTCCCTTCCTTCTCCAAACCCTGTCCTCCCCAGGCTCCACCCCGGGAATCTCCAGGTATTTCCTTCCCCAGAGATGGTAATCCTACTGAGGGCCCTCCTCCCACGAGTCTACGGGCTGCCTGAATTCCAAAACCGTTCCCTTGACTGCAGAACTACCGACCTTCCACGTCTTAACCACTTGAGCCACCACATCTCCTTCCAGGAGGCATAGAGTTCGGCATAAATACCACGGGGTGGGGGGGGGGGGAGCAGGAAATTCAGCAAAGAGAGGCCAAGGCCTGGTTTGAATCTGACGCAAGTAGGCCGGACAGTTTCTACTGCTTGATATTTCATGCACTCCATGTCTCCTTTAAACCGGGATCTCGGCTACTCTCCCGCCGGATTCAGTACATCAGATGCACAGATGCACAGACTCTGATTCTGCGCCGTTCGCACTCGAGTGAAACGAAAGGGCCGTTGGATATGGGGAAGCCAGCAAGGCAACAGTTGGGGGGAAATGACCTTCCCTGTTCTCTCTCCTCCTTCACCACAGATAATGACATGGACCTGGGCACTCTCCAAAACAACGTCAACAACACCCTGGACAACGTTTACGAGGAGGGTCCGGATTCCGATCGTCTCAGGGCCCTTCCCAATGGCAGCCTCGTCTCCAACAGCGAGCAAGCCAGCCTTCTGACAGGGGCCGACACCGTCAAGCGTTCTCAGCCCCTGCTCATCCAAAGCAATAGGTACGTGGCCGTGGGGGCGGAGCAGGGCAGGGGGCGGCCAGCAGTGTTCCCTCTAAGCTGAATTAGTGTGAGCCAGCTCACAGTTTCTTAGCCTCCGGTTCACACATTTCTGTCTTAGCTCAGGAAGGATGCCTCCAGAGCAAACTAACGTATGCAGTAGCCAAGTGGCTCACTCACAACTTTAATGCCCAGTAGCTCACAAAGTAGAATTTTTGCTCACAAGTCTCCACGGCTTTGAACATTAGCGGCCAGTGGTCCCCTCCAGGGAGCAGGAGGCCTCTTTTGCTTCAGACGAAGACGTGGGAAATGGTTCTGGCATCAGGGTTTCATCCTTATCACGATTCAGCCCAGAACCTGGGTTCAGTGCCCGGGCAGAGCTCAGGGCACGGATGAAGGATGTATCTCTGCAAAGTACAGTGGGCACAGCTTAATGTGAGCCGGTGCTCGTGTGAAGTGAGCCGGTTCTCGTGCAGAAGTGAATTCTCTTAGCATTCATTTCCATTACTGAGAAAACATCCCCCCCCCCCCAATCACCACACAAAGAGAGACTCTCGCATAAATATCTTGGTGTACAGACCGTCAATGCTGGCAGTGGTTTAAAACATAAAACAAAATAAAATTGCAGTGCAAACCTGAGCAAGGTTACGCCCTTCTCTGCCCACTGAAATCAGCGGAATTAGAAGGTACCCGATAATGAAACTGAAGCTCAAAGACTTTGGCCACCCAATGAGAAGGGAGCAGTCCCTGGAGAAGCAGACCCTGATTCTGGGAAAGACTGAAGGTCAAAGAAGACGGGGACGGCAAAGGATGAGATGGTTAGACAGTGTCATAGATGCAACGAACATGAAATTGAGTGAACTTCAGAGGACAGCGGAAGACCGGAAGGCCTGGCGTGATCTGGTCCATGGGGTCGCGGAGAGTCGGACTCGACTGTGTGACTGAACAACAACAAATTCTGTTTAAGACAGTAAAAAACCCAGGAACACCTTTAAGACTAACAAACGTTATTGTAGCATAAGCTTTCGAGAAACACAGCTCTCTTCGTCAGAGGCCTCTGACGAAGAGAGCTGTGTTTCTCGAAAGCTTATGCTACAATAACGTTTGTTAGACTTAAAGGTGCTCCTGGGCTTTTTACTATTTTGCAGCAGCAGCAGCAGACTGACATGGCTGACTCCTCTGATTCTGTTCAAGGTTCCACTGTAGGTAAACCAATCATTGTCAGAAGGCCTCGTTCACGCTCTTCCTGAAAGCAGGGAGAGGAGGTGGGGATTCGGGGAGTCTAATCTGTCTTTCGGGTACAGTTTTATACACCCCAGGAAATGTGGCTCTCCCATGGTTCTCCCTTCGCCATTTTATCCTCATACTGACCCTAAGAGGTAGGCGGGGCCGAGACAGTGAGAGTGACTGTCCCAAGACCGTCGCTCAAACTTCCACAGCTTTCGTGATATCTGAAGAAGTGAGCAGTCACTCGGGAAAGCCCCTCCCCTGCCACAGATTGTGTCAGCCTTTCAGGTGCTCCTGGACTCTTGCTCTTTTCTGCTGCTACAGACAGACTAACACGGCTGCCCATCTTGATCTACCTCACAGGGTCGTTGTGAGGATGAAAGGGAGGAGAGGAGAATGATGTAAGCTGCTTTGGGTCCCCACTGGGGAGAAAAGGCAAGGTATAAATGACGTAAATAAATACTGGCCTGCTATTTGCAGCATTTCTCCTACGTAATCGGGGACTGGGTTTCTCGATTCCGCTCCTGTTGAAATTCCAGAGTTCTTCTTAGGGCTGGTGCACCTCCTCTCCGTCCACAAAGGAGACTGCTCCTCCTGGGTCGTATAGGAAGTGCCCCTTTAGGACAGGGAGGTTCTTGAATGGGCCTGCAGCTCTCGAACTGCTGAAGAGGGAGGGCCCCGTGGGGACATCCTCATCCAGTGGAGCCTTTGCAAAATGTTGCTTCAAGCAAGACCTGTCACCAATTTGGTGGCTCCTTCACAGGTGAAAACATCTGAGGAATTTGCAAGGGAGGGGAAAAAAGAGTTTCAATAAGAAGAGGGGGATAGTTCAGCAGAGGGGGATTCGTCCATCCATACTTCCCTAGGTGGGAAATGCCCGGTGTCGTTTCATCCTCACGCTGGCCTGATTAGTTGCAAGAACTGGAAAAAAAGGGGGTGGGGACTCAACCCAAGATAACACTGCGAACCAGAAGGGTTAAGCTGACCACATATATTATAAAAGTACAAAATTTATTACGGTGTACACATATTAAAATATATTCGGGTTAAACATTTTTTTCCACGTATCAGACTAATAAAAGCATATCAAATATAAATACACATGATGGGTCAACACTTTCCAATTGAAGACCAAACGTGAATTACCTTATATGTTTGCAATTGTGTTGCTGGTATTAATGACGGGCCATAGGTATAGCCATATTCATTCCAATTACCTATACCTATGGCCCATCATTAATTTGAGTTTCTTTTCCTCTCTTTCCCCCCCTCTATTTTTATAATTTCAGGATACAACATCTGGTCTTTATATAAGTGTACTAAAGATCTTGTATACATATGTTTGAATGTGTGTCTATACTATGTTGTATAGTGACCACTGAGGAAGGCCCTTTGAGGCCGAAACGCGTTTGGTCTTCAGTTGGAAAGTGTATACCCATCATGTGTATTTACATTTGATATGCTTTTATTAGTCTGATACTTGAAAAAAAATTTTAACCCGAATATATTTTAATATGTGTACGCCTTAATAAATTCTGCACTTTTATAATATATATGGTCAGCTTAACCCTTCTGGTTCGCACGGATTCGTTGCAAGATCACAGGGATCCGAGCTGCCCCAGTAAGAGCCAAAAAAAGATGCAGGGAGAGGCGATTGCCATTTTTGTTCATTTTTAAGAGAAAAGCAACGGGGGGAGGGACAGAAATCAGATTGGCATGGGGGGGAGGGTTTAACCCATTCCCTTCTCCGCAATTTTCCAGATGCAGACTGCCTCCCCAGAGCTGCTGTTTGTTCAGCTCCCTCTGTAGCTCCATTCCCGCACAGCCCTCCTTACCCCCACTTAGGGCTGCCAGGTCCCCCCGGCCACCGGCGAGGGATGGGCAGGTAGGGTTGCCAGGTCCACATTGGGAAACTCCTGGGGATTTGGGGGTGGAGCCTGGGGGGGCAGGGACCTCAGTGGGACACAATGGCACAGAGTCCGCCCTCCAAAGCATCCATTTTCTCGAGGGGAACCAGTCTCTGTGGTCTGGAGTTGAGCTGTGATTCCAGGGGATCCCCAGGTACCACTCGGAGCCTGGCACCGGTCACAGCTACACGCATATCCAGAGTGTTGTCTGTCAGCAGGGGTCATTTCTTGCTGGAGTACCGCGGAGTGGCGCTCCGGCAGTAAAGAGCCCAGGCCCCTCCCCTCGGCCTTTCCCAGCCGCTGGTGGAGAGACTCGGGGGGGGGGGTGATTTAAATCCTTGGCACCTGGGGAAGATTGGGCAGGGAAGCCAGACATGTCTCCTGCCCTGTCCTTCCCTTCTCCAGCTAGCCCGCCACGGCAGGTTGGTTGGGGAGGTGGGCAGACATGGGCCCTTTTCCCCTGAGCTTTTGCGGAGAGACTCAGGGAGGGGAGGGATTTAAACTCATTTGCATATGCCTTAACTAATTTTAAACATGCCTGCCCTTTGCCAGGGGGTGTGGTACATGCAAATGAGTTATGCAAATGAGCTCCTGCACCTCTTTTTCTAGGAAATGACCCCTGTCCGTCAGGCAGGATTCCAGACTAACCCCCTGCATGAAATATGCATTAGGAGGAAAAGGCAAAGAGTGCGGGGGTACTGATCAGCTCGCGGCGTTGTGGCAAAATGGAGCGGAGCAAGGCTGCCAAGTGCAGTGGTGGCCAAGAAACCTCTGCAAGTGAGCACAGAGCCAATTGCAGCAGGGAGTATCGATCTGACACGGCCACCCACATCTTCAGCCACAGGCAGGGGAGCGAGTATGTTGTGACTCTGGGGTGGTAAAGAAGAGTGCAAGAAGCACTTTGGTGCGGAGTTCACCTTCTTGGGAATCTGTGGTCTGTTTTTTAAAAACAAGGTCTTGGACCAATGTTCCCTCTAAGCTGTGGAGTCTTGTGAGCAAAAATTTTACTTTATGAGCTCCTGGCACTAAAGTTGTGAGCGGGCAATTTGGCTGCTGCATAAATTAGTTTGCTCTGGAGCCCTCCTTCCTGAGCTAAGACAAAAAATGTCTGAGCCGGAGGCTAAAAAACTGTGAGCTAGCTCACACTGACTCAGCTTAGAGGGAACACTGTCTTGGACCCCAGCATTACGGCCAAGTTGTACTTTTCGGTGGGTGGGCTTGCTGGAATCTCAGAGAGTCATGTTGGTGAGATGCCTCACGGCCAGGGGGTGAGTCTTCAGTGCTCTTCGCTCAGCTCTCTGTTCACCACCCCAAGTAACAGAACCCAGAGTAGAGTCTGCAAAACGAGAGAAAGGAAGCATCCTTCCGTAATTCATTCAGATTCCTCATGGGGGGTACAGCACGGTTGGTACAGAACGGTTGCCCGGCCGCAGAACGTTTGCTCTTTTTTGTGCAGAGGACGCAGAACCCTGAATCTCTAGCGCAGTGATGGCGAACCCTTTAGAGACCGCGTGCCCAAACTGCGACCCAAAACCCACTTATTGATTGCAAAGTGCCAACACGGCAATCTAACCTGAATACTGAGGCTTTACTTTAGAAAAAACGACTCCTACATTAACTTAAGAGGATCCAAACAAAGTAAGGAAAGCAATCCCAAATGCTTTCATTGACTTAAAATTATTTGGCAGAGAATTCGACACTTGAATGATGGTCTGGGCCTGGCTGGGGCGATGGCACGCGTGCCCACAGAGAGGGCTCTGAGTGCCACCTCTGGCACCCGTGCCGTAGGTTCGCCACCACTGCGCTAGCGGAAGCGTCCTGTCTCCTTACGTGCCAACCTAGAAAGCCCGCCGCACCCGCTCCCTCTCCCTCTCTGATGATCTTCCGGATGTCCTTCTTCTCCCCTAGAAAGCCAAAGGAGGAGGAGGAGGAGCCCCGGGCGTTGTCGCTGCCCTCCATTCCAAACCCCTTCCCAGAACTCTGCAGCCCCTCCAATTCGCCCATCCTGAGCAACTCCTCCCTGGGGTCAGGCTCGCAGCGAGAAGGCGGCTCTCACGTATGTACATTCATTTGCGTTTGGGTCGGGCAGAAATCGGGTCAGGGCGCCATTCGAACTTGGGTTCAGTGGGACTTTGCTCTGGAACTGAATTCCCCCCCCCGGCACCGGGGGTGAGTGGGTGGGGTGGGGGTTTCACGCTGGAGCCTGTGAAACACACAGGCGATCCAAGGGCCTTTCCAGAAGGGTAATGCCTTTCCTTGATGTTGCAGATCTTTGAGGGGCAGGGTAGGGCAGCCAGCTCTGGGGTGGGGAAATACCTGGAGATTTGAGGGGGTGGAGCCTGGGGAGGGCGGGGTTTGGGGAGGGGAGGGGCCTCAGCGATGTACAGTGCCATAGAGTCCACCCTCTGAAGCAGCCATTTCCTCCTCTGGGGACCAAGTGTCATAGCGGGAGATCTCCAGGTGCCAACCCCGGATCAGGGGTAGGTAGGGGCTTGACATGTTGGACCCGCCCCAGTGAGAGTTATCCCTGCAAGATATCTGCCGGGTGCAATTGTGCCTTGCTCAAAGAAGTTTAGTGGGATAGGGCTGGATGAACAGAGCCACCTGTTACCTGTGCCAAATTCAGGGCTATTTTGGGGCAGGAACGCACAGGAATGGAGTTCCGGCTGGCTTCAGAGTTGACCACGCCCACTGCAGCCAAAACCTCTGCATGCGTGGCTACAGAGAGAAGGCCTGGGGAGCAAACCCCCCCCCGGGCGATTCTTGAGGCGGGTGGGCCAGGGGGCCCCCTGGAAGGATCGGGGAGGCCTTTAAATGCTGCCCCGTGCCTTCCCCGGTCGCGGGTCACCCGGACAAGCCAAGGGAAGGCATGGGTGTGTGGCCTAATATGCTAATGAGCTGTGCTGTCAGGGGTATGGCCTAATATGCTAATGAGTTTCTGCTGTTGGGTGTGGCCTGTTATGTTAATGAGTTCCTGTTGGGCTTTATCTACAAAAATGCCCTGTGGAAATAAGTTATGCGAATGAGTTATGCTAATGAGCTCCTGCACCTCTTTTTCTACGAAATGACCCCTGGCGGGTTTGGTAAATTAGATGTTTCACAACGTATCATGCATTCAAGGCAGCTTTGAATACACTACACTAAAGTACCCGGAGGCTCCTCCTCGCCTCTCCCTCCCCACAGCCCTGATCCCAGCAAGGGGCCAAAGAACCTTAGAATTACCACTGAAGGATCCAAGCTTGCCGGGCATGGGAGGGTGAGGCCGGTTGCCATGGGGACCATTGCCAAGGCTCCCAGGTTTTGTTTGGCCGGCCTGTGGGCCTCCCCTGAGAGCCTGCAATTACGGGGACAGGAAGCTTCCAGCGGCCGCCTGATGCCTCTCAGGGCACAGCGCGGGATGCCTCACCCACCCCCTCCACTCTCTGAGGGAGGAAAACAAGAGATGTTCGTCGGGCACGTGGCATAAACAAAAAGCATGACCCAGATTAGCCAGTTTAGAGACCAGGGAGCCCTTTGTGCTGCCTGTTTGTGTCCGGGGAAGTTACATTCTAAGCGCATGTTTCTCAGCCGTCCAGACGGCACATTTCTCTCATTGCACAGAACTTCCGTTCTTGAACTCCGACAGCCAAACTTGAGCCAGTTTGGTATAGTGGTTAAGTGCGCGGACTCTAATCTGGGAGAACCGGGTTTGATTCCCCACGCCTCCACTTGCAGCTGCTGGATGACCTTGGGCAAGCCGTAGTTCTGTCAGAGCTGTTGTCTCATGGAGAGAAAGTGGCAATAATAATTGCAATAATAAAATAATTGAAATGTTATAGCCCCCCCGCCCCCACCCCCCCGGTCTTCACCAGCGTCAGCTGGCGCCCAAAACCTATTGAAAGACAGGAGAGCATACATTTGGTGTTTTATATAAAACAATAGGTAAAGGTAAAGGTTCCCTTGCTCGAAAGCCAGTCGAATTCGACTCTAGGGTTGCGGTGGTCATCTCCATTTCCAAGCCGAAGAGCCAGCGCTGTCCGAAGACATTTCTGTGGTCATGTGGCCGGCATGACTAAACACCAAGGTGCAAAGACTTTACATTTTACTCAAACAGACATGATTCTTTTTCAAGGATCGACATGATATGGGCGACTGGTGACTTAGCTTTAAAAACGCAGAAAGTGGAAATTATGCCGAAAGTGAACTCAGACCATACTCCAATATTATGGATATCAAAAGAAGGAAGAAAAAACCTAGATGGCGACTGAACGAGGATTTGTTGGGTCAACAAAAGATTGTAGATATTATAAGTAGTGAAACCACACAGTTTTTTCAAACAAATATGACCCAAGATATGCAGATTCAAACAGTATGGGACGCATATAAAGCAGTAATGAGAGGACTATTAATATCTTTGAACAGCAGTGAACGAAAAAAGAGACTGGAACAGCAAACTATGGTGTTGGAAAAAATCCGAGTAAAAGAGAAAGAATTAAAGAAAAGGCCGGGGGAAAAGAAAATAATTAGAGAAATTCAAATTCTACAAGTACAACTGAATACACTAATGAACCAAGAAATTTATTGGAACCTGAAGAAGCTGCAACAGAAATCTTTTGAAGGGGCAAATAAGCCGGGAAAATCTTTGGCATGGCAATTGAAAAAAAGGTGGGAGAATAAAATTATAAGTAAAATAGTTGATGGGGGAAAAGAAATTGTGGACAATAATGGAATAAAGAGAGCATTTTTTAAATATTATGCAAACCTTTTTGGAAAGAAGTTAATAGATAAGGAGAAAATAAAGAAATATCTGGACAAAATGAATATGCAAAAAATATCAGAGAACTTTAAAGTAATGCTAAACAAGGCAATTCAGGAGGCAAAGTTAGGGAAAGCTCCAGGACCAGATGGGTTTACTGCAAAATTTTATAAGAAATTTAAAGAGGAGCTAGTCCCAATCTTTGAACTTTTGACAAATGAAATAAGAGACACGAAGAAAATACCAGAATCATGGAAAGAAGCTACAATTTCGCTTATCCCCAAAGAAACACAAGATCTAATAAATGTGAAAAATTATAGACCAATCTCTCTTCTGAACAATGATTACAAACTGTTTGCGAAAATTATTTCGGAAAGACTTAAGATATATTTACAGGATGTAATTGAAGAAGAACAAGCAGGTTTTTTGCCCAATAGACAGATAAAAGACAATATGAGAGTGGTGATTGACGCAATTGAATATTATGACAAACACCCGGAAAAAGAAGTTGGTTTCTTTTTTGTAGACGCAGAAAAATCATTTGACAATTTAAATTAATACTGAAATGACAGAATACTTTAAAGTACAGAAGGAGACGAGGCAGGGTTGTCCCTTGTCCCCGTTACTATTTATATGGATACTCGAAGTACTGTTGAGACAAATCAGGGAAGATAGAGAAATCAAAGGTTTAACCAATAAAGGTTTTTCTTATAAATATAGAGCATTTGCGGACGATGTAATGTTTATGGTTGAAGACCCTGTATGGAACTTGCCATTGCTAATGGAGAACATAAAAGAGTTTGGAGATCTAGCAGGTTTTTACGTTAACAAAGACAAATCCAAGGTGATGTGTAAAAATATGACTGGAAAGAAACAAGAGGAGCTACAGAGATCGACACAATGTGAAGTAGTGAAAAGGACTAAATATTTAGGTATTGATTTGACAATGAAAAACATAGACCTTTACAAGAATAACTATGACAAACTCTGGCCTAAAATACAACAGGATATCAAGAAATGGAATACCTTGAATTTGTCATTGATGGGAAGAATTTCAGTGGTTAAAATGAACATTTTACCTCGGTTGATGTTTTTATTTCAGACAATCCCAATAGTGAGGGATGTGAAGGTATTTAATTTGTGGCAAAGAGAAATCTCGAAGTTTGTTTGGGCCAGGAGGAAACCACGGATTAAAATGAAGATTCTGTGTGATGCAAAAGAAAGAGGTGGACTTCAGTTACCAAACTTTAGATTATACCATGATGCGGTATGTTTAACCTGGTTGCAACAATG